GCAATTTTATATTTATACGGGTTCAAAATGGAAATGTATTTTGGCCGAGCCTAATAAATCGGAAAGCCCATTTTTAAAAAAATTTTTGTCCATTGACGCCCTCGTGGGGGACGACTAAATATAGTCATAAATTAAAATAAAACTAAAACTATATGCTAAAAGTTTGTAAACCTATATTGCAACAGAAACGATTTATTTATCAAAATTTTGAATGTTCTAAAAGGAGGTGATAAATTTCATTAAATATTCAAAAAAATATTTGATTCCTCATCTTAATAATATTTTAAAAATACCAAATAGGAAATGAATAAATATATATATATATATATATATATATATATAAATTGAAACAAATATATATATCTTTATACACACACACACATATATATATATAAATACACACACACATATATATACACACACATACATATATATATACACACACACATATATATATATAAAACATATATATATATATACACACACATATATATATACACACACATATATATATGTACATACACAGACATATACACACACACACACACACACACACACACACATATATATATATATATATATATATATATATGCATATATAACTCAATGTCCAGGGCAGAGTAAGGATATAATAAAAAGGCTTAAACACTAATATTCCATGGTCATGATTTATTCCATTGGAATTGTAAATACGATCCAATTCATCAGACCTACAAATTAAAAAAAGAAAACAGAAAAAAACAACTCCAGGAATAAAAAATAAAATTTAGTGAGAGGTATCATATGAGAATGTGGGACGAATGTTAGAGTAAATGAAAGCTATAGGGAGGGTAACAGACAAGAGAAGAACAGGAAGGTCTAAAGATGAAGGGGGATTAAAATTTAACAGAGAGAAAGTTTTTAAAGAGGGGAGTCAAAGATGGTTTAATTGAGAAATATGAATGTTCTCGGATGTCTAATACATTAAAGATATAACCAGAAAGGATACATTTTGTGGTGACATACACACACAATAGATGATATAATCTTAAAGATCAGAAGATGAGAGGGGAGGAAAAAAAAAAAAAAAAAAGGGGGGGGAGACAGAGATGGGTTTGGGGGGGAACTAAAACCGAAGGGCATTTATAAAAGGTCCACTGTGCAATCAAGAAAATTTGACAAAAGTGATATCGACTACAGGTTACAAATCAAATATAAACATATAAAAAAACAAATATAATGATTACCTAATCTTGCAAGGACCTATATTTCTATGTATACAAAAAACAACATATTTATATTTACGTACATACATACATATAATTGTGTACAACATACATATATATATATTTATATACATATACATATATATATATATATATATATGGAATATATATATATATATATATATATATATATATATATATATATATATATATATATATATATACATACACATACATACATACATTGTGTTCTAATATATATATATATATTTTTACACATATATATACATACGGACATACACATATGTGCTCATAAATATATATACATAAAACCTTACATCTCCATACAATTACATACACCCATCTAAACAAATAAACAATGTATCCCTATATCTATCCGTCTAACTATACATACATACATATATACATACATATATACCCATATACAGATATATATGAATACATACATACCAAAAAAATACACACACACATATAAATACATCTACATATACATATACCTACATATATATATATATCCATATTCTTCTGTTTGTCTGTTACCCCTCTATATAGCTTTTATTTAAATATAACATTCGTCCCACATTCATATACATACACTATATATAAATGTTATTATTTTTAATTATTTAAAAGTTCTTTTTTCTGTTTTCTTTTGAAAAAAAGTCTGATGAATTGGATCGTATTTATGTAATTCCAATGGAATAAATTATGACCATGAAATATTAGTGTTTGTTTTTTTTATATATATATATATATATATATATATATATATATATATATATATATATATATATATATATAATAGCCTGACTGATGAGCGGTGAAACAATGAAACAGGCTTATATGTGGATGACTATGTTATTCTCATGTCATTTCGATCGATCACTATAGAGAAAAAGATATATATATATATATATATATATATATATATATATATATATATATATATAAATGAACAGAATTAAAATAGTAGCCGTCGCATTTATTAAAGCAACCCTCTTCATCAATGAATTGAACACAAAAAGGATCTCCGACTGATAAATCGTTTTGGTTTCAGTGGATATATATATATATATATATATATTATATATGAAAACATACAGATTGTTGAATTTGTATCACAGCTCACCAGTGTTTTAGACGTCCGGTTTAAAAGCTATGATCGAAATTTAAAAATTGGCCTCAGTCGGAGATTCTACCACTAAGCAATTGCCGCACGACAGGATGAAGGTGAATTTAAGCATATTTATCTTTAGATAAACACATAGTGACTGAGAGTACTCGATTCGATTTACAGGATCAGACTGAGATAGATACGAATAGATTGAGTAATATATACAGATAGAGAAATGAATACATTGAGACAGATAGATATAAATAGAATGAGATAGATAGATCGATAGACAGATAGGTAGATAGATATAAACAGAATGAGATTGATAAATAGATAGATAGATAGATATGAATAGAATTATATATACATATTAGCAAAATGAGAGAGATATGAATATACTGAGATATTTGGCTAACTAGCTAGCTATATACCTAGATAGAAATGAACTGAATGAAATATATTTTTTAATATTTAAATAGATAGAATTGGAATCTTAGATTCATGATTTTACAAATCGTGAATGTGTATGACACAATTTTCTCCTCCTTAAGTCGTCTGCTTTTTCCATTTCCCGTCCTCAACTTTAATGGAACTTTACTCAAGCAAAACTACATTCGTATAACACTCTCCACTATTCCGAGAACTTCAATTTTGCAAAAGAAAGAAGGGAGACATTTGATTTTGTCCTCATTTAATTATCCGTTGACGTCATAATTGCGTGTGGCAATATGGCGTTTGGACTAACGAACAGCAGTCATGCAAATGACGAAAGGTTTTTACCATGGTCTATTGTTTGTGTGTGTTTATTTATTGTACTACTGGTATGTTTTATATTTAGTTTTTAGTAATAAAAAACAAAACAAAACAAAAATATAATTAATTAATAAAACTGGTTCGCGGGTTTAAAGAATTTTTTATACTGTGTATTTTGTCTTGGTTTCAAAATGAGGGATCCAAACATTTGCATACAATATATATATATATATATATATATATATATATATATGTGTGTGTGTGTGTGTGTGTAGCTAATATTAGTGATAAATATATACATACGTATGCAAAATATATAAATATATATACATAGGTGCATACACATACATGTATATTTTTTGAATAAAAAATTCCAAGAGGATAGAATCCAGGTAGAACTCAATGTCCAAGACAGAGTAAGGATATAATAAAAAGGCTTAAACCCTAATATCAGTGTTTAACTTTTTTTATTATTAACTTTATATATATATATATATATATATATATATATATATATAAATTTATCTGATTTTTTATGGTTTCTTCGCTACACAGGAATTACAATCAGAAGCTAAAAACTTCAAATTATAATTATATAATTAATTTAAAAGCATTAGTTCTGTTTCATCTTCAAGCGAAATTTAGGCAGCATTTTTCATTGACGCATGTTTCATTAAATATTATAGACAAGTTTTCTATATTCTATTTTATGCAAATTCCTTTCATATCGTCTGATAAGTTTAATAACATTATCATTGAAAGACGAAAGAAAATCACCATATTGATACATGTTTTTTTAATCCTATCTAAGCTTTCGGCTTACACAAGCCATCATCAAAGATGGCAATAACATTACAATATATTAAAAAATACACGGACATGGCAATAATGATAGTCTGTTTTTTGTTTGCGTGGAATATTTCCAAGCAACGACAAACTTGTGCATACGAGACGCTGGAAGCGAAAATCGCACCGCAGCTCATGACATCACATAGAGTGAAAACGGGACAGGAAATCACGCGAGAGTGAAAACGAGAATTATTAAGTATGGGAAGACGCTGGTATAAACCAATGGCATATGTTATCAGTTATAGTCATTTAAGAATATTTGTGGGGTTTTCATAGTTTATTTTGTTCAGGTTAGGTTTCAATTGTTTTATGTATTTAGCTTCAAGAATTTTTAGTTTTTGTTTATTGTTTTCATGTTTAAGTATAGTTGTGTTTTCAACGAGCATTTTCCGGAATTGTGTATGTGGTCAGGCATGTTGTTTTAATATATATATATATATATATATATATATATATTATAATTATTTTTTTAAAAAAATGATTCCTTCGCTACATAAGAGTTCTCATGTTTCAAAAATGAGAGCCGAAACCATCAATATAATTATTAAAATTAAATTGAATTAAAGTAACAAACCCTGTTTCATATTTATAACGCGAAATTTTATGAATAACCAATTTTGAAATTTACGTATCGTTAGTTTTATGTTCATTCGTCCTTTATGGAGGTTTGGGGCGGTCATTTTTGATAAGGGGCCTAAGATTTAATTTTTATCCACATATCAGTCACCTTCGGGAAGAGGTCAAGCTGAGGTAGGGTGGGGGTGTCTATTTCAAAGCGAATGATGTCTTTCTTGTACGCGCATCGTCTGTTCATTCGCAGAGAAAGATAGATTTTGGCACCATAGTATGTTGTTAAGTGTCTGGATATTTTTGTTTTATTTTTTTTAATTTTATTTTTACACACACACACACACACACACACACACACACACACACACGTATATATATTAAATGGATTATCGATGCTAACTATAATCTACATTTGTTTGATGGCGATTGAATCTAGAATAACTTGTTGACTTAACACTAAACAGTTGTGATTCATATACATTAATTCTGTTAGTAAAATTGTCCATTCCTTTTCCCACGAGGCCCAGAGCTCCGATTACTATTAGTACAGACTCAGTCTTCATTCCCCACATCCTGGTTATCACGATCTCCAGGCCCTCGTATCTGGACAATTTCTTGAAAATGTCCATGAAGATCTTTGCCTCAGATGGTACTGCTATGTCAATAAGCATAGATTTCCTGAATTTCTTGTTTTTTTTTTATAATAATATCAAGTCTTTTATTTTCCTGTCAGTTTGAATTGGCATGTCCCAGAGGATAGTTACATCGCTATTTTGGGTAAGTGCGTCTGGTTAGAGTTATTATTATTGTTGTTATTATTATTATTATTATTAGTAGTAGTAGTAGTAGTAGTATTTCCTTGTGTTTCTAAAGTATTCTCATTTCTTTCCGGGTACCAATCAGAGATCTAAAATCATAAAAGGCAGCATGACATTCTCCAGTGAACATTTTTGTAAAAACAAAATAAAATAGCCTAAGTTCACACACATTTTACATTGATAAAGCTCTTCGTAAGGTGGGAACGTTATTTACGAAAACATTTTCTTTTTACATTTTTTAAGGCATGTGCTGACAAAAATCCCTTCGATGAGTCTACCATATATTTTACGAATCAATCCGAGGGCTCCAACCACAGCTAGAACTATGGAAGTCCTCATGTGCCACATTTTTTTTTAGATTTCCACTTCCAGAACCTTGTATTTTGATAGCTTTTTGAAGTTCTTCAAAGATACGTTACAATCTTCAACGACTGCCATGTCGATAGGAAAGCAAATTCTTTTCTTATGATCTTTGATCACGATGTCTGGGCGATTAGATTTCCGTCTGTATGTATTAAAAAGCCCCATAAAATTGTCATAGGTCCTGTGTCTGTAACCGGGTCTGGGTGATGTTCATGCCAGTTTCTTGCAGTTTCCTTTGCGTAAAAGTTGCATATCTTCCAGTGCAGATATTGGCCCACTCTATCATGGCAAGTTTAATATTTAGCGGGTGATAACACCGTGCAACCAGATACAATGTGTGAAGTAGAATTTTTTTAAATTTCTTTAAGGTATGGGCTATCAGAAATTCCTTCAGTGATGCTATCGGAACCTTTTTCAATCAATCCGAGGGCTTCAACTACAACTGGAATGATTGATGTCCTCTGAGATTTTCGCTTCAAGATCCTTGTATTTTGATAGTTTTTTGAAGACAGTCAGATACATCACAATCTGCAGGGAAATTACATTCATTTTTGCGGTCTTTGATCACGGTATACGTGTGCATTGATTCCGGTAAAAGTTGCATATTATTTACAGTACAGATATCGGCCCACCCTACCATGCCGAGTTTTATATTCGGTGGATGCAAATACCGTTGCACCTGATTCAAAATAGTCTATTGTTTCTTGATATTTCTCACGAGAATCACGATATTGGTTCAACTTAATCAGTTCGCTTGCTTGGTAAATTCTAGGAAGCAAACATTGATCCTATTAAGCAGCAATAAAACCTTTGTTTTGAGCCCTCAATCCTGCAGCAAGTAATCACCGGGTTTGTCGACATCTGCTTGTTTGGTACGGGCAGGGTATTGACCATGAAGAGGCTTATCCTGCCATCGGCTCTGCATTTTGGTCCATTGTACATGTTTTCTATTTTAGATTCTTTGCCCCATGCAGTAGGTGCATTATGGTTTATTTCCATTTTTTTCACCCACTTGAAATTTCGTTTTCGAATTTGTTGGCCTTCCTTATTATTAAATAAAGTTTCTTATGTCTTTCATGTCCTTTGATGCAGATAATCATCTTGTCTTCTATAGATTCCAGGTATCTTTAAAGACCGATTGTTGCGGTTTTGTGAGATAGTTCTAGTTGAACTAATCGTCTACCTCTTTTCGCTAATTCCTAGGTACTTATAGGCTTCATCGTGCTCCATTTCCCTAATCTTTGTGACAAAATCTAAATCTATTAAGGGCGTTTCTGTAATTCTACCTTTCTTGAATGAATATTATTATTGTTACTTTTATTATTATCATCTTTATTATTATCATTATTATTATTATTAATATTATCATAATTATTATTATTATTATTATTATCTACGAGACTCGCTTACTAGCTCTTACACAATTTGTCTGTCTGTCTGTCTTTTTGTCTGTCTGATTTTCTCCCCACTCTAGCTTATCGCCCCAAAAGTTAGCAGATATAGAGTTTACTGAGTTACACTAAGTACCAATATCGAATCTTCTCTGGTGACGACCCATATCAAATGTGACCATCTGTCATGAGTTCTCGAAGTCAAGCACATCCTTTGGCCGGAGTTTACAGATGTAGTGTGTTTGACCTATTGAGTGTTGACCGACTGGCGTTTAACCCAAAAAGTTGGATATTGAACAAAAGTATAAGGGGACACACTTAATTTACAGGGTCAAGTGTTTTTGGGAGGTCAAATAACGACCGGCCTGTCAGCGCTAATCAGATTCGCCACCTCGTCTGGGAAATTTCACGTCGACATGTAACCGGTCAGTTCACATCGACTGTGAAAACACTTGAGGCCTTGTGAGTGTTGCGAAGAGAAAGGAAGGAAGGAAGGAAGAGGAAGGAAAGATGGAAGGAAGGAATCACTTATAAAGAAAGAAAAGAAAAAAAAAAGAAAGAAAGAAAGAATTAGGAATGAAAAAGGAAGGAAGTTAAAAAAAAAAAAAAATGAAGGAAGGAAAGAAGGAAGGGTAAAAGAAGGAAGGAAGGAAGGAAGGAAGGAAGGAAGGAAGGAAGGAAAGAAAAAAGGAAGGAAGGAAAGAAAAAAGGAAGGAAGGAAAGAAAAAAGGAAGGAAGGAAAAACCAAAAAAAAAGAAAAAATAAGGAAGGAAAGAAGAAAATAAAGGAAGGACCAAAAAGAAAGGATGTTTTGTAAAAGAAAGGAAAGAATAAAATAAAGAAGGAAGGAAGAAAGGAAGGAAGGAGTTGAAAAAAAAACTAAAAAAGAAGGAAGGAAGGAAGAGAGGAGGAAATAATATAAAGAAGGTATGAAGGAGGAAAGAAAGAAGGAAGAAAAAAGGAAGGAAGGAAAAAGGAAGGAAGGAAGGAAGGAAGGAATGAAAAAGGAAAATAATGAAATCAAAAGCAAAAACAAGGAAGGAAAAAAAGGAAGGAGGAAGGGGAGGAAAGAAGGAAAGAAGGAAAGAAAGAAGGAAAAAAGGAAGGAAAGAAGGAAGGAAGGAAAGACAGAATGAAGGAAGGAAGGAAGGAAGGAAGACAGACAGATAGACAGCCGATGGACAATGCCTTTACGCGTGCGGATGGGAACAGACGACCGAATACGGCCACTTTTAAATGAAAGCCCGCCCGTCCGTTGTAGGCGTCTTTTTGAAATTTGGACAATGGCCAGAGGTTAAATTGGTCAAAACGACGGGACGCAATGCCATTTCGCTTCCCGGGGCTATTATTTCTAGACTCGAGATAAAAAGAAAGAAAGGAAATAGTTTGATTGGACGTTAAATCAAAGGTGGTTAAATTAGTTCACACCGAAAAGAATATTTTGGCGGGAATATTTCAAAACTTGACTCTCATTCGTCTTTACGCTGTGTACCTGCAGGACGGTGGTGATCATGGCTCTCCACAATTTCCTACACTTTGTAGCGTTTAACAAATTTTGCCTTTTTGTAATCTCTCCTAACCACTTTTCTTTCATCTGCCGTATCCCTTCAGGGTGTTGACGATCATGGCTCTCCACAATTTCCTATCCTTTGTAGCTCTTAGTAAAATTTGTCTTTTTGTTATCTATCCTAAAGCCTTTTCTGCTATCCTTTTACTCAAGTTTCTTCTTTTATCTGCCATGTCCCTTCTGGGTGTTGACGATCATGTCTCTCCACAATTTCCTCACCTTTGTAACTCTCAATAAATTTTGTCTTTTTGTCATCTTTCCTAAACCCTTTTCTGTCATACTTTTAGTCAAGTTTGTTCTTTTTTTATTTGCCATGTCCCTTCAGAGTGTTGACGACCATGGCTCTCCACTATTTCCTAGCCTTTGTAGCGCCTAATAAATTTTGTCTTTTTGTTACCTCACCTAAACTCTGTTCAGCAATTCATTTGCATAAGCTCGTCCTCCTCCTTTTCCTATACGAGTGGTCAGCTATAGTATACTACTATATGCATATGTATATTATATGGTTTTCAGTCACTTTCCAAAGGTGAGACACGTTGGGATTGACCCCTCCAGTCAAATTGTTGATCATGCTAGATAACACGCTCTTTCCCAGAAACTGTAACTAAGTCTGCTCAGTGTAGTTGCAGTATAAACCACAGGTGGGCTCTGAGGGTGTTGAATAAACACAAGTGCGCCTGAGCAAGAGTCTGCAATAGGGATTGGATAGCCACCCTAGCAGACGGGTATCCTCCAATACGAGTGGCCAGCTAATACTTTGTGGGTCGATGATTTGGGTTTTGATTTAGGATTTACCGGATGTTAAACCGAGCCGCTCTACTAAACAAGGAATTCACTGAAATGGTTAATTATCTTTGGTTGACTTTTACTTCTTTGTTCTTGTTAAGTAATTACTAGCGGTTATAATTAAATACTGTCTTATCTTAACATTGAAGTCTTGAGCTATACTTAATTATTAACGACCACCGTAGGTCACTGATGTAATTAATATGTATACACCTGGGTTCACTCTCACAGTAATATGATTGGCTGGTGTCAGCCATAAATACAGACTGATGTGGAGGTACATGGTCGACGCCTATTGCCTACCACTACGACGAGGACCAATCCATTACGGTTACCTGCTAGATTGTCCTACCCGGTTACAGTAGTTCAAAACCACTGATACTTCGAACAAATAAATCCCGGGACATTAAGAGGTTGTTCCACGCTTTTCAAAACCTCCTGATCATTGGCCTTGCTGCTGGACGTAGTTTATCGTCTTACCCAGGACGCGGATGTAGTTTAACGTCATACCCAAGACGGTCTCACATCGTGATAATAGAAGATCTGACAAGAAAGGTGAAGGTTTGTGATGTAATGAATATGCATACACCTGGGTTCCCCCTCACAGTAATATGATTGGCTGATGTCAGCCATAAATACAGACTGATGTGGAGGTACATGGAAAGACGCCTATTGTCTTCGCCTATTGCCTACCAGTACGACGAGGACCAGTCCATTACGGTTACCTGCTAGATTGTCCTACCTGGTTACGGTAGCACAAAACCACTTTGCTACTTCGAACAAATATATCCCTTTCCGGGACATATCAATCAAAAACAAAACATCTCTTACAAAGACAACTCTTCTTTGACAGTTTACCATTTATTATTGTACGTCGATGATTTGGGTCTTGATTTAGGATTTACCGGATGAAATAAGCAAGCATATTTTATTTTTTTACTAACAAGGTATTCACTGAAATTTTAATTTTTTTTTATGACTTTTACTTCTTTGTTCTTGTTATGTATTTACTTGCAATTGGACTAAAAATACTGTTTTATCTTAACATTTTGAATGGCTATACTTAACCATTTTAATTATTTTAAACCAAAAAAAAGATATCATTCTCAATGCACTATTGACTTACGCAGCATTGGAATATCTTAAATGCATCTCTTAATATTTAATATAGTATGCATCTGATTTTTCCTTGTTAGTCATGCAAATATATACCTTTAGTACAGTAACAATATATTTTTTTCTGGTTTTCACAGAAATATATGTGAGAAGTAAAATTATTGAGAATTTAAAATATTTTGACCTTCTCTAATTCAAATAATTTATATGTTGTTATTTCTATAAATTGATCCTCGATTAATAAATATAAATGGAAAATAATATTTAAAACGTCTCTTCAAAATTGACAGATAGAAAAAGAGTTTACCAAATGTCCATTTCTTAATATTTAAAAGTCTTAAAAATGAAATTCTCCTGATTAGTCTTTCTTTATTTCTTTTTTTTTTTTTCTCATTTTTTTCTTTCTTTCTTTCTTTTTTTACATTGATTCACTGTTTTTTCATTCATTTATTTTTGATATACATTGGAATTTTCTTTCTTTATTTCAAATTTATTTATTTATTTATTTATTTATTTATTTATTTTCCAGATGTCATTTTTTTTTTTCTTTCAGTTTTAGTTTTTTTCTTTCTTTCTTTCTTTCTTTCTTTCTTTGATTCACTCCCGTTAATTCATTCATTTATTTTCTTTTTTTTTTTTTTTATTTATCTTGTTTTAGTCACTCCTGTCCTTTGAAATTGAGTTTTCTTTCATTTCTTTCATCTTTCTTTCATTTCTTTCGGATTTCTTTTTCTTTCACAATTTCGGGTATTTTTCTTTCTTCTGAAATTCCCGTTAATTCATTCATTTATTTTCTTTGAATTCTCTTTTTTTATTTATCTTTAACACAAATTGTCCTTTCATTAATTTTTTTCTTAATTTCCATTTCAAAATGTTTTTTCTTTTTTTTTCTTTTTCTTTCTTTCTTTTTGATTTTTTCCCAGTTTTCAGATATTCATTTATTTTTTTGATTTTTTTATTTATTTGAGTCATAAAATCTTGAAAAAATTTATTTTCTTTTATTTTTTTCTTTCTTTTTTTTTTTTCTTTCTTAAACTTTCTTTCTTCTTTGACTATTTAATGAAAATCAAATTTTCTTTTCTTTTTTTCTTTATTTTTTATAAACATTCCTGTCATTTTCTTTTATTTTTTTTTTTTTTTTGCAATTTTCAGAATTTATTTATTTTTTTATTCAAAAGATTTTCTCTGTTCTGGAATTTTGGATCTTTCTTTTTTCTTTCTTTTTTTTAAATTTCCTTTGATTCTTAAACTAAAAGTCAATTTTTCTTTTTTTTTCTTTTTCGTTCTTTTCTTTTTGAATTATTTTAAATTATCTTTTTTTCTATTTTTTTTTTTTTTATTTTTTTTTTTTATTTCTTGACTGGAAATTGATTTTTAATTTTTTTTCTTTTATTTACTTTTAAATTACTCCCGTATATTATTATATTATATTTTTTTATTTTCTTTCTTTCTTTCTAAATTTCTATTATGTTTTATCATCTTCATTCAATTTTCATTAATTTTTTTTAGAAAAAAAAATTTATCTTTCTTTATTTGAATTATTTTTTTTTTTTCTTTTTCTCGATTTCTTTCTTTTTTTTCAATTTTTCTTTTTGGACTTTCTTTCGATTCATACAATTTTCTTTCTTTTTCCTTTTTGATTTTACTTTTTTTTATGTGATGATAACTTTCTTTGCCCAGATCGTTTATTTTTCATTCTTTCTTTAAACCCATTCTTTTCATGAGATTTTTTTTTTTATCAACAGAACCGCGTTTTTTTCTTTCATTTTCTTTTGTTTTTCTTTTTTTCTTTCTTTCTTTCTTTATTTGTTTTTCTTTTTTTTTTTTCTTAATCCCAATCCTTATCTGTGTTCTTGCACTATTATTTTGAGTTTTGAGCAATTAACCTAATTTTAAATGTCTTTACAAGCTATGTTTTTTTTTTCCACCAGGTTTAACAATAAACAACCAATCACTGTACGGCAATGGGAGCTGTGGTTTTGTAAAACCAATTTTTTTAGCCAATTATTATTATCTCAAAAATACAATCTTTAATGCAAAATTGATAACAAATAGGTTTTAGTTTTTGGAGCAGGCTTTTGGAATCCTAAAAGGTCAATTGGGGATATTTCATTTGTAATTATTCCGTTGCCTACAAGCCAATTAAAATGGGTTTAACATTTGAATTGTCTTTGATGGTAAAAGGATGGAATTTAGTAAAAGGAAAACATTCGGTTCCATGTCGAAGGCGATTAAATTATAACAGAGTCCAAATACCATATGTTATTGAAATTTTATATTTTATCACGGCTGCTACGTGGCATCTGTCTTCGGCAGCGATATAGATATATATATATTCTATGTGGAAAAACAGAAGGACGCTGAGGATATCATGGACCGAGCATGTAAGCAACGATTTCAGTTTTGAAAGGATGCAAACAAGGAAGAATTTATGCTAACATAAGGAAGAGGCAAATTAAATTTTTTTATATACGTGATAAGAAAGGAAGGCCTGGAGAATCTGATACTCACGGGACGAATAGAGTGAAAAAGAGAAAGGGGAAAGCAGCCCATGACATATTTTTTCGGGTTTGGGCAGGTGGATGGCGGGGAATGATCTGGGGAATTTTTGGCATAAACACAAAAAAAATTTGAGATAAAACAAGGGATAGAGGAAGGTATTTGGTTTAAATGAGATTTTACGTCCTGAAAGGACATAAACATAAAAAGAAAGAAAAAATAAAGGTAGATGATTGGGAAGAGTCTGGAACGGAAAACTAGAAGAAGGAAGTTGAGGAAAATCACCCTCGTAGAGCATATAGAAAATGGAATCTTTGAGTTTTTGACTCTGAAAATGAAGAAAGATGGATTATGAGTTTTAAAGTTTTTACTGAGAGATCGGAAAGGACAGGAAGGCCCTCAAAAGGAGCCAGAAAGGCAGAACTTGGAAAACGATATCCGTAGCCCTGATGTCAAAGTTTATCTAATTTTTTTTTTTTACGTTGGATATATCCGTAAATATTGTGGAATATATCGTGAGCGCCTTTTTTATAATTTTTACTAAAACAGAGCATTAATCTTAAAAACTTGTTAACATTTTAAATGGTGGGGGGTTGAATAAAAGGAAGGAAAGAAATTTTGGTTTTGAGATCATTGGACTTTTCTACATTTCTTTTATATATATATAATTATATAGATATATATATATAATACAGAATAGTGGAACAAACAGGACCGGTGTCATTTATAATCAGGGACCAGTTTCTCAATTTTAATGTTTTAAAACTATTTCATTAAATGGAAATTTATCTACTCAATTAGGTAAAACAATTTAAAACAGAAGAATGCTGAGGACCGATAATACAAAATGAGGTCTTGGAAATTTGCAAACCATAGGAATTATGCTTATACTTATAAGGAAGAGGGATATTAATTTCTGGGACACGTGATGAGAAAGGAAGGCCTGGAGAATCTGGTACTCACAGGACGAATGATCAGACAGCTTTCAGCGCATGACATAAAAGGTTTCTATTGGGCAGGTGGGATGGCGGGGATGATCTGGGGAAATGCACAAAATTCAAACCTGTTAAGAACAAGGGATAGCGTGAATGTGATTAAAATGAAAATTCATACAAAAAAGGACACGGCAGATAAAAAGGAAAATAAAATTTTTGGATAAATATGCAGGAGGAACAACATTAAACAGACACTGGATCAAAAACTCCAACATGCAGATATGTATATATAAATTATATTTAAGCAGCATATATTCTAGAAAAATGTTTTATTAAATTTGGCCGTCAAAAATAAAAATTTAATTTTATATGGCATTTTATTTCAATCTTTGGAAAAAAATGTTGAAATTTTTCAATACAACTTTTACAGGAATTTTATATATATATATATATATATATATATATATATATATATATATATATATAAAATATATATGTGTGTGTAATATATATATGTGTGATTTATATATAGATGTGTATATATATATATATATATATATATATATATATATCAAAGATATATATGTATCATATGTTATATATATATATATATATATATATATATATATATATATATATATAATAAAAAAAAAAAAAAAATTTGATGCGTCAACATCTTTTAAATTCTGAGTAAAATTATATACAAAAACATATAAAAAAAAAAATCATTTTTTAATTTTTAAATTTTTTTTTCGTTGAAAAAATGCAGTTGTATGTTATAATAAATAAAATTAGTTTTTTATAGCACAGGACGAAAAAGCGTCACGCAAACATTTTACACTTTTTCGAATATTTTGAATTATTTATATTTATATATATATATATATATATATATATATAGTGCTGTTCGATAAAAGTGACTCACCTGATTTTTTTTTTTTACTAAATGTTTCTTCTCCGATGAAACAAAAAGTTGAGCTAAATTCAAAGGATAAGCGATCTAAAATCCGAAGAAGAAGCTTTAAAAGCTCTTTGAAAATTTAGTAAGTACTGTCAAGCATCCGTTCAGTATAATGTTCTGGGGATGCTTTTTCTTTTCATGGAACTGGTTTCTTAAAACCTATTGAAAAGACCCTCAGGAGCGAGCAGTACAAGAGATTTAGAGTCTTGTCTGCTCCCTTCTGCTGAAAGGGTGCAAATCGACCCCACCAAGCTCATTTTTATGCAGGATAATTCTCCCTGTCACAAATCAAAATTGATGAAGGAATACTTTTGATGAGAAGCAGGTGAGTGTTATGACATGGCCGCCCCAATCTCCTGACCTCAACCCCATAGAAAACTTATGGAGCATGTTGCTCAACTGCTTTCTCGAGAGCCTGTACTTTATAATGCTCCATAAGTTTTCTATGGGGTTGAGGTCAGGAGATTGGAGATATATCATAACACTCACCTGCTTCTCATCAAAGTATTCCTTCATCAATTTTGATTTGTGACAGGGAGCATTATCCTGCATAAAAATGAGCTTGGTGGGGTCGATTTAACCCTTTCAGCAGAAAGGAGCAGACAAGACTCTAAAATTCTCT